GGGCGGCCGACGCTTCTCGTGGGGCTGCGGGTCGTCGCTGCTGGAGTTGAGCTGCGCCGAGCGCCCCCAGCGATTGGACGGGGCGGGGCGGGGCGGGGCGGGGCTGTGCGCTCCAGGTCTCGCACTGCGGCTGCCCGCCTGGCAGGAGCCCTGAAACGTGGGGCTGGGGTTAAGCGCCGCAACGGAGCTCCTCTCGTGGCCGCCGCGTGTCGTGGCGCTTGCGGAGTGACCGCTAATAACGGGTATGAGCCTCATGCAGTGGCCGGAGCTGGGCGTCCAGGGCCGGAACGGAAACAAAGGCGGGGCGCGAGGTCGGGGCAGGAGCAGCCGCTGGCCGGTGTTGTCTGCTGCCGCCTGCAGGCCATGGCCGCCGAGCGCCGCACTCCCGGCTTGTGACCCGCAGGTTGTGGAAGGTGGACATGGTTTAGACCGGCGAGCAGCTCGTTCCCATTTTATTGTTGTTATGATTATTCTCAGTATTAATATTAGTAGTAATAGTGGTTCAATATAATAATGCTTTCAGGGTGAGGAGTGGAATGCTATTTTCTAGTCTCGAGAAAAAAAGTGGGGAAGTCTGTCATAGTGTCTACAGTTAGAAAATGTAATATGTGATGTTTGTAACATAATATAATATAATATAATATAATATGGTGTACTGTGCTATGGAATATAATATATAATGTAATAGGAATACAAGTCTCTTCCCCTTTGATATATAAACAATGTGCTTGGCATTGTCACTAGTTTCATGTTTAAATGCAGTCAGACTGTGTTCTGCAGGGCCCTATTTGGAGCAGAAAAAGAATGAGAGAGAAAGGGATGTTATTACTATTTAAAAAAAAATGAATTAGTTATTTTTTGGTCTGTCATTTAAAAGGTTGTTGGCCTGGCACAGAAATTTAATGTTTATGTAAAAGCATATTATGAACACAAGATACTTGTTTTTATGAAATTCTTGTTGCTGTTTTTTGCCATTCAGATTTCCCTTCCCTGTCTTCCTTGCCCCATTCTACTTCACACATTTAATTATACTATTTTTTATATTTGTGTTTTGATAAATCTTTTCAGCAAAAGGAACACAGTCAAATCCAGTCCCTCCTATCCAATCTTTATCTGTTCTTACTGTTTTCCAGTTTAAGCATTTGTTACATCTACACACACACACCCACC